ATGAAATAATTACTAAATAAATAATGAATAATTTATTTCATTTTTTTTTAAATTTCAGGATTCATTAAATATTCCGTCGCATTAAAATCATGATTAAACATTCAATATTTAAGAAAACATTATTTAATTAGTATTTATTAGTATAGTCTCAAGGGTAAAAATTGTTAAAATACAATTTGTATTCACTTGTACAAAAAATGTGAGTGTTTATAATATAAGTAATTATGTATTTAAGGAAAAAGTACAAATATTGAATTTTTAATAAATACAAAGCATGCTTAATTTTTGACGTAGTTCGACGATCGTTAAATAAAATTATTTTTTAAATATAAAATTGATAATGAAAATTATTTAATTAATTAATAATTTAGTAGCTAAATATGATAATTCGAAAGGAATCGAAATAAAAAAATAATAATAATTCTGACAAACAATAAAAAATATATTATGAACTTAAGATAAATATATAACAAATGTTGTAATTTTTTAATAAATAAATGTACACCTATATTTTTTATATAAATGAAAATACCTATTAGTTGAATTTACTAATTCAGGAGCGAATATAATTGAAGTTTTCCCCAGTTTCCGGAAATAATGTTTCATTATACATACATATATATTACCAATTAAATCTATTCGAAAACGGATGGATTGATTCCCTTTGATCCTAAGCAATTACTTGGAATTTGTAATTTAAACGATTACGTGATTTCAGAAAGTTTCTGTTAAATATACGGCGATGTAATTAAGTAGAATCGAATAAAAAACAATATTTAAACGACTGATATTTTTATCAACATATATTGTTCAGGTTTATTTATGTTCATTAATTAATGAAAATGTAGTTATTCTTCAAAACCAAAATTAATAGTATTCCAAGATATTAGAAAGCATTTTTGTCAAAAATCACAAATGTATTGTGTAGAATCATTATTATAATATATAAACACACTATGTACATTTTTTTATATAAATAAATATGAAAGGTATAGAGAGACCACCACTAAAACCCCGGATTAATACAAGTAATATAAAAAAATATAAACTTACTTCACCATGTGTGAATTGGAAAACAGTTATTATTGTTAGTGGTCTATCTAGTTGCATCTTAGTATTGTTTGTGATCACAAATTTTTGCAAAATTTAATACTTGCATATGAAAAGCAAAATCATTAAAAATTGAGACCAAGTTATACTTTTTTTTCCAGCATGTAATCCGTTATCATAATTTACATTGGTTTATATGCGGAAGACTGTATCAAAGGATTAAACTCGTTGAGCGAAGTACCACTGTACTTGAAAATATAAGAATAAAAAATCTTTTACATCTTAAATTTTGCAGTTTCAAAATACAATAGAGTTGATTATTAATAATATTGATTAATTAATTAAAATAGTATAATATATTAACATAATAATATTTAAATTAGTTAGTAATTACTTATGATTAAATTTATAAATATAAATTAAAACTGAGAATCAATTTATTTAAATATATACATTAATAACCTCATTAGTATATAGCTCGGCTAAGTTATTATTAAGAAGCGTATTAGTATTAAGATTAATCGTTGAATTATGTAACATAATCTGTCTTTAAATAGGTTCATTAAAATTTAATTCAGCAATTTTCATCAAACTAATTGTAACTCATTAAAATATTAAGCTAGTGAACATCATTTAATATTAAATTATACTGAAAATAATTTTGTATACTGTTTTTGTAGAATTTTATTTATATTTTACTTAATTAAAATTTAGTTTCTTTATAAATCTAAAGAGTGAAGTCGCACTATGCGAGGTATTGGTGTAATTATCTTATTTATATTTAAAGTATACATTAATATATTAGTTTTATTATAATTAGTAAATTGTATTCTACTATATTTGTGGTACTAATTTATTGAAAAGATAAGTGTTATTTGGGAACAATTATATAATCTAATAGAAAAATTGTGTAGACTTCCATTACTGATTTTAGATATTTATTTTCTATATAAAAAATAATAAGCTGATCTTTATTCAGTATGAAATTAAAATATATAAAACGAATTCTGGGATCATTCCTAACATTTTACGCTTTACTTTATTGAAGATAACAATTAACATCTCATCTCTGATGATATGTAAGTATTCTACAACATTTATTGTATTTTTTTTTATATCTTTTATTTCTTATTCACAACCTGTTACATTTAGACATTAAGTAGACTATGTAGTCAACTTGTCAACCTGTCACATTTAGACACAGTAGACGGTGAGCGGAACGATTTCCCATCGGAAACTTTCCAACAAACAAATATAAATTAAATTAAAAAATAATGCGATAACAATAACAACTTATATAAATATTAATTTTGACAACTTAAAAGATATTTACTATACAGCACAAGAAAGCGAACTTTGATTTAGTTACTAAAGGGTATTTTGAGGGTGATGTGTCTCTTTAGCCTGTGAGGGGTGTCACTATTGTCTAGCAGGGATAACACGAGACTGTTGGGATGGTTCCAGTCTGTTCTGGTAACGGGCACAGAACTTGGAGATTTCACAGTGTTCATGTGGAGGTCGCTGTGTAACGTGTCGTTCGTCTCGTACCAGGAGACTTGAACCAGGGTGCGCCGATACTTAGACTGGAAGAGTTGTAGGATCTTGATGTTGGAATTGCTGGCTGTTCCCTAAAGCTGGATGCGGTACGTCCACACCGGCTTCAGCACTGTTTTATAGATTAATAGTTTGTTGTCGAAGGATAATGGAGATATTCTGCCGATCAGTTAGTACAATTTTGCGAAATTGATGCCTAGGTACTTCCGTTTCGTTGAGATGTGCTTCTTCCACGTGAGTCAGCTATCTAAGTTTTTGGCATCATTGGCTTGCGGGATGGTTTTGCTCTTCAGTGTGACCGGGGGAAGATTGAAGTGACGCGGTTGAATTTGTTTTCGCTGTCTTTGATGATTACAGTTAATTATCTCAATTTAACAAAACATTTGATATACTTTGAATATAAATAAAACATTTAGTAATTCATTATGCATGCTTAAATGCAGCTAAATAATGATATTAAAGTTACATCTTTATTAATTAACGATTCATATAAACATACCTTGTCACACTGAATTGTTCCTATTATTATATAAAACTGCAATTTTCCGTGTTTATCATGCATTTAGTTTTGCCTAAAAGGTCACACGTATATAATAATAAAGCCAAGCGTGCACAAATGATCATAAAAATACATACAAATAAAAATATTGATGAAATAACATATATAAATTAAAACGCATGTTGAATTTAATTAAAAAAAAATGTAACGCAAAAAATTATAAAACACTAGATTTGTCAGAAGCTCTGTTTAAATTAAAGTAATCAATACAAACCGACGTGAACATCATGCTATAAAAACTATAAATATTTATTGATTCACAACCGACATAAGGAAAACACATTAATTGCAAAACGTAATAACATAAAATTTAATGCGTCCATGTATGGAATGCTTTCCGAATGCCCATTTTTTATATGGACTAGTTCTATAATGATAATAATAAATTTTATAATAAATAAAATTGCCTGCGTAATAATTGATATTATTATGGCAGTAAATTTGCGTTTAATACCGACTGTTTTATGGTAGCAAAGAGCGAAATCACTTATCTGCAAATTAATTGCAAGTACAATCATCAAATTTTTAAATTATTTCAATACAGGAATTACCATATTATGTAAATTTGCGTGCTAAATTTGCAATGTAATAATTACATAATTATCGGTTGCAACTATTAGCAATTCCATACAAACAAAAATGTTTAAAAGAAACGAAACGAAAACTGATTTAAGTACTTTTATCAAGAATAGTATTTAAGAAGAAAATAAAATTGAATTTGTTTATTAATTTAAGGTATTTAAGAAACTTTGTAATTTACTTCTGTTCGGTGTTCATTCGAATCGTTTTCTATTAGATTCTTTATACTGATCTTAAACAGATTCAGTTCTTAGGAAAGTTTTCAACTCTTATCGTGTCGATCGATCCGTTTCAGTTTCACCTCTTAAGGCTGCACGATATAAATTTGAACATACAATTTATATAATATTGTCGAAATTGAGCTATATTGTTTAAAAACTTACGTTTCAATTAAAGTTGTTAACAAAGGAAATTACTTTTGTTCCTTAAACAAAGTCATTACTTTCAGGATGATATTGCTTAGAGAGATTATAAAGTAGTTGAAGAGAGTATTAGCTGATGAATGATAATGAATTTATTACAAATTTATATTTTTGACATGCTAAAGATCTTTGATGGCTCGTTCGGAAAGTAATTTCATATTTTCTAAGCACTGTTAATTATATTATATGTGACAGCTGTTACTTTGCATCGAAGCGAGTCGAATTGGGTCCCATTACATCGATTAACATATATGTTAGGCAGCACGGCAAAAAGGTTGAGAAAAGCTGTTCTAAATCACATTGACATTATATATTTTGACAACCAACATTTATAAACAAAAAATGATTCTGAGTATATATTTTTTTTAAACGAAATTACTTTCCGTACAAGCCAATAAATAAATATTATAATTACCAGCATAAAAAACGATAATTTAAACAATATTGTTATATTATTTCTACTAATTTCAATATATAATAAATACACAAAAACCTATTATATTAATTTTATAATAAATTTACAATAAATTAAACTTAAATACTTAAATTAACATAACATTAATCCTAATTCAATATAAAATTTTAATTCTAGAGTTAATAGTAATCTATTGGAAATTTATCAACTAACAAATTCATTGAATTTCCCTGTTTCTCTTTTATATGTTATCAATTGAGTCATGTGTGAATACACAATAAAAAAAGTACATAACAACAGTGTTAATTGATTATACTTGCTTATAAGAATTCAATTGTATTATATTCATATACTTTAGATGCTAATTATAATTTTATCTGTATATTTTAAATGCGTGTATTTATTTATCTATCTGTTTCAGGTGTCTCAATCGGAATACTGGGATTTGTTAAATGGAAACGTAAATAGGGATTTCGAAATATACGGATTTTCAAAGCAAAATATTGGCGAGTGCCTGCTTGTGTGTTTGAGTGCGTGTGTGTAGTGCGGCCGGCGGAAGGATAATGGAGTCTACGCCGATGATGAGATCACTCAGTTCAGACAGTGAAAAGCGTCGCGATTGGAAACAGCGACTGAGCCTGAGAGATAATAGAAGACGTGATCCTGTAAGTAATACATTTAAATCCCCATCATCCAATCCTAATCATTGAATGGTACATGTACATGTTTGATTGTGTGTGTCAACCTTATGTCGATCGAGGATGCGATATTAAGCCATTTCTATATTACTTCCATTTGTCAGGGATTTATCTGCCTGAAATCGTTATAAATGTTGTTAGCGTATGAATCACGTTGTTTGTTTATTGAGTGCAAGTAACAAATTTTAAGAACAGTCGGTGCTTATTTAAGGATTTTTTCTTAATACGTACATGATTATTTACGGAGATCTAACTGAAGTTGTGTGAACGCACAATAATGATTAGTATACTATGCGTTTTGACTCATATTCAAGTTGTACAACTTTTCTTCATACCCCAAAAAAATATTACCGTTCTGGCCAATACACGGATGATAATGGTGATCTATTGATTCACAAACTTCAACAAACACTTCATTATAGTATTTTTAGCATTTTTAGTATTTTGGCGTAGACTTTATTAGATAAGAAAAAGTCCAGTGGCGTATCTTCATAAACAACTTTCCCCGATAACTGTTCATCCTGTTCACATTTTTTCCAAGTACCATTTGCAAAATTATTTTTTCTGTCCGGATCATCTTTATTGATAACATGTACCAATGTTGAAATATATAGTTACATGCATCATCTTAAAATGCGATGGACACTTATCTGCAATTCCCACTACTTCATTATCTTACGGATTTTCACAATATGTTTCCAGTATTCTTTATTGGCTGGTGAAGCTCGTTGATGTTCTTGATTTTCCAAAACGTTGTCTGTGAACGTCCTGAACAGTTCCATTCATTTCAAACTTATCTTTTATCTAACTGTAAATCACATATATGGATCTGGCTGAAACTCCCTACGATATTCCTTTTGTAATTCTGTAATTATTTACAATTAATTACACCTTAAAAAAAAGACAAATCAGAAAGTTATGACCCGTTAAACAGTGTATACATTTGTTTGTGACAACCTGCATTCATATATCGTATATTCACCTAACGTACCTTAACTGATTGTTGAATATACCTATACTTTTTAGGATGTGGTTTTTCCGTTGTATAGTAATAATCAGTTTATAATTATAATAGGGTTACTTTATTTCATGCGAAATTTAAAATATTTTTATCAATAATGGAAAGGAAAGAAATAAAATGTACCATATAAATCAATCTGTATTACAATCTGTTATACATTATAATGATTGTGAATCTTCAAATTAGAATAAATAATCTAATCTGAATAATCTGACGTGTCATTTAGAATATTTAATCTTGAACACAAGGAAAACAATATTGTAGTTCATAGTAAAATACATAAATATCTATGGGAATTCGACTTCCCATTTGTTAACTTAAAAATTTCCGGGGCGGTATCATTCCAATAATAATTTATTGACCAGATAAAAATGATGATAAAATCAAGAATTGTTGTTTTGGGCCTTTCTGCACTATATTACTTCATTCTTTCTATTTTATATAAAATAATAATTGTATGGAGATAATAAAAATAGATCTATCGAATTATAATTTGTTGTAAGCTATTCAGAATAGAAGAATATTGAACATAGAGCTGGGTGGAGTCCAATCACATTAAGTTACCAGGAAGCGATAAACTGGGTCGATAATCAGTTAATAGACAATGTAAAGCTACTGTGTCTCTTAATGAAGTGTTAGGCAATATATTGGCAAGTTTCAAAGTCCAAATTAAATGAAATGTTATTAGTTAAAAGAAAATACAACTACAAAAAAGAAATAAATCCATTATTCTATAGTTACAGTACTATGAGTCGATTTTGACTATTAATTAATATCATTGGTTGAATATGTTTGTTATGTTATATTGGAAAGTAACATATTATCTTTTTTAGTACAAGTAATAACAATACCTTACCATTTTATAAAACAGATAATATTTATTTCAAATAAATAAGTCCTCACAAATTAAGTTAATTTCATTTTTTACACTTTCATGATTTCTTGATTTTTATTTATGTATGTATGTATGAATTTAAGCTATTAAATTGTTCTTATAACTATGAACATTCCTAAAATTTATAAATTGATTTCAAGTACATTTTCTAAATTTAAATAATTAACAAACAATTAAAATATGAATGTTCGAAGTTAATAAATACACGTAGAATTGTTTTTTTATATAAACAATAAATAATTGAGTACAAATTTGGAAATTTAATAGTCATTTATACATTAAATATTTTTTTAAATAATGCAATTATTGGGAGTATAAATTAATCATTATTATTTATATAGTTTTATATATTGCTTTGAGGGTTTTCTGGAATTACTGTTGATCATTTATGTGCATTTTTCCAGTCTTTGCGATCACGTACACCAATCAAGCAATTTTACCGAGAATTCGCAGGAAACGTCATTTCTACCACAGAGAACGGAAGTTTCATCGACTTCGTTCGCAGGAAAAATTTCCACTAGAATGAGTTCAAAGTTTGTAAACGGTCGTTCCAGAAAATGGAGGCTACCATCGTCTATTTTAGCATCTTCTTGCATGACGGATATTTAATATTCTTTGTTGAAATTTGAAATTTGAACGGCAAAATTAATAACCAACAGACTTTTTTTCTATATAAAGTGAGTAAAGAACAAAATTCATATTTCCATATAAAAAATACACAAGTTCGATTATACATAATTCCAAACTTTGTATATTCACACTAATTTTAATCGATGCAGTCGACGGAATTGAATTATGCTAATAGCATAATATTAATTAGCGATTCAATTAGTATCCCAAAAATATGTGCGTAATTATAATTTATTTAAATTATATGCTAATAATCCAATCAACCCAACTATAATCCGTATAACGAATATCAATATTTCAATTATGCATTATTAACTTATAGATCATCATTATTATATTATAATCATTCAGAATCTATTAATAGAAATAATGGAATCTGATGTGTATTAAACGATTCATATTTACATAAATATAAAATGTATAACGTGCGTGTTTTGGATATTGTCCCACAATCACAATGTTCGGTTCAATAAGTTTTAATAATAATTCAGGAATCCTATTAAAATCGCATGCAAATTTTCCACAAACGTATCGTATAATAGAAAAAAAAATGTATGAAAATAAAAAATACTAGTAAATTTGCTGGATGCGCCGGGCAATGTTTTACGAATTTTGAAATAAAAAGGGCTGTTGTTCTATATGGAGGAATAAAATTATCTAGCGGGAATAATAATAACGGGTCACATAAGCTGGAAACTTTATTTGCACACATTTCGAACTTGTCCCTCTGATCAATTCCGCAATGTACAGTATTTTTTGTCAATTTGCAAACATTATTTTCAGTATATTGTATATGCATACCATATGCATTGTATTTCCATATATTATTGATTTATTTTTTGTATGTTAAATTTATAATATTTTTTTTAGAAATACTTATGAGATTAGTTGTCGAATTATTGAAAGTCAATATAACTATATTAATATATAAATTATCATAGAAAAATATTAATTTTGAAGCAAACGACTTTTGTAAAGATCTGTTTAGTTTTTTTTTTTATTAATAAAATTAACAGTGCTGCGAAGTCATTATATTAATACATCCAGGATAATCTTTTATTTAAATAAATGACGAACAATGAAGAACAATAATAACACTTTTTTTTATACACAGTCAAATTAATGAGGCATAAAAAAATACAATTATTATTGTTAATATAGTGAATTAACATATACTATTTCCACGTAGAATCGCAATCAATCCTCTTTTTCCATCCCAGCCGAATCCCGTGGGAACGCTTAATCATCAATATGTCCTACTCCCAATCACAACTCCCACCCCGTATTAATAAGAATTAACTTTGTAAGTAGAATAAGTATTTAGATTATTCTCGACAAAACAGATGAACATAGTCTCAGCAACACTTTCTCATAAAAACCTAAGACGAGCATAGTCTCAGCAAAACTTTTAGATATGAATATAGTCTTAGTAAAACCTTTAAAGATGACTATAGTAGTCTCAGATGAATCCTAAGACTACCATCTGACGAATAAAGTTATGTAAAACCAAACGAATATTATTAAATTACTAACAACTGAGACTTCACAACGACAACACCAAAAATATTCCACTGTCTCCGAAATTCCATCCCTGGGACACGATAATATGACTCACATTGGTCAGTTGTGTTAAAACTTAAAGTAAAAACACATGTTAAGTTTTATACATAAATTAAAACTACTCAAAATAAAATTTTGCATCTGTTATATAAAATATACGTAACATAAAATAAAATAATTAATAAGTAATTTTTTTACTGAGAAGGATGAACCTGATGCTTTAATAATACATTTTCAACATTTTGCGTCAATTTTGTAAGATTTAAGATCTTAAATCTCCTCGTTTAATGATGTCCAGTCTGTTTCTTTTTTTCGTTAGGTGATTGGTTCCACTAGGTATGACGATGGAAAGGAAATTAAAAAATTTCCTCGCTATATTCCATAATACGGGATAAGTAACGGATATGTTGTTTTTCAGCCAGAATTTCTGATATCCGTTTTTAAACTGAACCTTAAGTTCTTCGTTTGTACCTAGTTCAGTCAGTTCCTGTTATATTATGACATTCGTTTCTTCTATGTCACCATATGAGTTAATTATCCACGGTGGTATTACCATAGTCAAAACGTCCTCAAACCTAGTTTCAAAATCTGAATAGAGGACATTTAAGTGTTGAACGTAGGTTGAAACGTCGTCTTCCTGGCAGTTTGTCTGTGACAAATTGGGGAACTGGGAAAATTAGCCCCGTCCAATATTTAGTTTCATTAGTTTAACTCTGGCAAAAAACGCTAATAAGATGGACTTTGTTTTAATCAAATTTATCTTTAGTATCCAGATATTCTAAAATAGTCTCAAAAAGTGCAAAAAATCTTGTCAAACATAAGCTTTCGACAGATAGCGTACTTCAGTGTGAAGGAGCAATT